CCCCCCGCGGCGCCGCATACCCGTTCACCACATTTAGCCGCGTTCATTGAAGGCGGGTTCAATGCGTTCAAATTCTGAATGCGGAATCTGCGTTCAATAAACCCACGGTTTCATATAGTAGAACTGTGCGCCAAGCTGGCCCAAAGCACCAGCGTGAACGGTTTTCTTCTGTTTTGGCTGGCGTTGCCAACCATTTTGGTCTGGTTGCACCCGGCCTCAGAAGAATTCGGCATAGGCTATATTCACGACTTAGGCTTCCACTCGGAAAGGTAGTGGTGGATTAAACATTGTTCGCAAAGTCTCTATGCCAAGGGTGGTGAAGGAACCCTCAGAATTGAGGCTTGGCATTAGTCGCAGCTCCTTTTTATTGATGGGAAGCTGCACCTGCTGGAAACTGGGTCCAAAGTTCTGTAGCCTGGATTGAGGATACATACATAGAAGGAGTGGGAGGTCCTATACTTGCCCATTTCAGTCATTCAGATTGAAAACAAGTGACGTGCATTTCAATTTTGGCGGGGTCAGCTGCTCTATAACTGAGGTAGGCTATTGTCAGGGTACAGTTCCCATGAGCTCGCTTTTTTTTTTTTTTTTTTTTTTTTTTTTTTTTAAGATGGTCTTCATCTGGGAGACTATGTTTCCTATTGTTTCTTTTCCTCCACATCGCCTCCTCAGTCGTTAGCCCGCTCTGAATGTGGTCACTCAGTATGTGCTCGCTCTTGGAATTTTCAACTGCTGTGACACACATCTGTATTATTATTGTAAAGGAGGGCTGGTCGTTGTGCTTATGGAGGGAAGGTCGAGGTGAGACTCTTTCTGACCAAGATGTAGGGTAAATTGACTGAGTAAGAAGGGGATGCTCTCATGAGTAGAAAGGAGTTCCTTCGGGACATCCGTTAAAAGGATTGGAACGATACCGAGAAGATTAGCCCACAAGGATGACACTTGTAAATCGAGAATGGTCCAAATGTTTTGGGGTAAAAAAGAAGGGAGTTCGTTTCAGTATTTAGGGGATGAACATACAGTGTTGTTCATTGCCGCTTCCCGAACAACCAAAGTTCTTTGCCCCTTGCATGTCGCCAGGGAAGGGGTGTGAAGAAGTGTATGTTCTTTGTTTATTATTATCGGCAGTGCAAAGGGGATAGGCACTGCTGGTGGGATAGAAAGTCGCGGAAGAGATGTGTTGACGAAGAATAAAATGCCAGGTGTTTTCTTGTTTTTTTTTGCCTCCAAGCTTTCAGGCCCTTGCACATGTAGAGACTGGTGCTTTTCCTGGTCACTCTTTTTTTTTTTTTTTTTTTTTGGAAACCAGCTCCATCTATTGGTGGGGAGCATCACCTGCTGGAAACCGGGTCCAGCGTCCCTTTCCAGGATGATAGTTGAGCTTTCTTAGGGAGCCCATGTGGCTGATGGTACACACATGTAACTGTTAATGAACAGCTCATGAGTTCGAATCCTGATAAAATCAGATGGATATAATAATTATATGCCCTTGGGGATACTCACTTTAAACTTTAAAGAACAAAAGAAAAAGAACAAGAGTATTCTTGCCTGTGTGCTATTGTGTGCTCATCTGAGGTAAAAATTCATAAAAAGTCACTGGTAAATGGATAATGTTTCACTTTTCATTTCCGGAATAATATTTTGGGGTTTGTACAGTGTTCTGCTGTCATGGGTGCTTAAACGACCACCACCCTGCATAGCTACCCGTGAACAGGTGTTGGTTAACATGGTGATGCAGAAAGGCTTGTCCTACATGGAGTTTAAATTCAACGCCAGTTAGATGTCTGGAGATTAAACATCTCACTTTTTGCTTACTTCGTTTTACCAGGAATATGATGAGTTTGCGTCGTTATCGCGACGGCGGTATGTTCCCCCTAATTTTGCGGAGATTCGCCATGTGGCCAACATTGCTCAAGTACACTCAAGCGCGGAGAAGTTGTCGATGATCACGTTTGACGCAGATGGAACGCTCTATGCTGACGGCCATCACATTGAAAAAGACAACAAGATGATTGCACATATCATTGCTCTCATGCAATGTGGCATCCATGTTGCCATAGTCACAGCTGCAGGTTTGAACCTTGAAACCTTATCGACTCAGCCCATGTGTGCGTGATTGCACAATTGTTGCCTGTGATAAATCACTGAATATGCCTATCTAATTGTCTTTTCCTCTCTCTCTCTCTCTCTCTCTCCCCTTACCCATAAACTGTCGATAGTAAATGTGCATGTGAACATGGCAACCCCAAAATGTACAGAAAAGAACTCACGTTGCTGAATTCTGCATGAAGCACACAAGTGCGAGGATTGAGCCCTCGCATGGCCTATCAGACCCCGGCACCCGACAGGCGGAGGAGCCCCCAGCAAGCAATGTGCCCGCCCTAAGTGAAGGCGGGCCTGCTTTCTGACGTGAGAGCCTATTTTTGTCATTTCTGCATATGGGGCCTCCAGACAGTTGCCACGCGCCAGTTGGTTACAAGGTCCATGCCCAGTGGGAGCATGACATGCTGAGCCTCCGGGCTCAACCAGCTGGAGACGTGGCCAGAGCTTCCCCGACCAATGAGAAGCCAGGCAGCCTTCCATGACAGGAGGCCTTTCGACCAATGGCAGTGCAGTGTTTCACGTTGGCCACGTCGCACGGTTGGGCAGCTTAACTTTGTCACGCACCTGGTGTATGTGGCAGTCTGCATTGGTGACTTTGTCACGTACATTGGGCTCTAGCTGGAAGTGACTCCTGTTGCATATCATAGTCTAGGCTAGATAGGTGCTGAGTAGGATAGGCTGGGCGCTGAGCGCCAATCAAGAAGGGCGATGTTGGATACGAGAGGGCCTACATGGACGTTTGAGTTCATTGTATTGCTCTTATTTGGCATGTATCTCGGTGCATTGTGCTTTCTGCTTGGTACACAGCTATCTGGTCTTGAGCGTGATATTGCAATCTGGTTCTCTGTCTATCGCTCTTGTTTATTTTCCTTACACAAGAATAGGAAAAAAACTTAAAAAAGAGAATAGAAGTGTATATGGAGCAGGGGTCCAAACTTGTGCTTGGAATGCTTGTGAGTTTGCAGGTATATATATTTATAGTATACACACACACACACACACACACACACACACACACACACACACACACACA